CTGAAGTGCTTGCATCCTTACAACCATAATATGGGTAGGCTATGGTTGGGCACATACATTGACCAACAGCCAGCCGGAGGCGGTGGGTGCAACTAGCCCTGTGGCAAATGGAATGAGGGACCGGGGGGTGGGCGAGTAGGTTGGTGGGGGCCGGGAGCATGAGGACCATGGAGATGCGGGGGATGGCTAGGTGTGGGGCGGTTATGCATGCAATGTGTGCGCGGGACCATGTGGCATGCAGGTGCAGCCGCTGGGTATAAAAAGGCGAAAGAATGCGCATTATAGTATGACAGTGTGTGCTCACCCTTTTGGGGATGATCACCGCGCAAGTCACATGACAATGTGGCCACACGGACTTAAGATAATATCTCCATCCCCCGATGCAATATGGTAAAGGGGGTTCAAAATAGTAGAATACCAATAACCCAATGGAGGTGGTTTAAAACTCATATGCTTTTAAAAACTCTATTATTAAATAAAATTATGTTATTTTAATGTGCATTGCATTTTGTACCTCTCAAGAACCTAACTAATAAAGAAATATACTACCCCCTATGCTTTACACCACAAGATGTATGGCCAAGTATGTATTGGGGCTCATCACGTGCTAATTAATCAAGGACAATATTGAGGTGTATACAACAGGCCACCATATATGCAATAGCACTATCCCTTATGAATTTGTGGTAAATTTGTGGTTTTGATCATGCCATCTAATGGCTTGTTTTCATTCAATAATTTAGTGGATGACATGTGGGTAGAGGTGGGCCATCTAGGAATGGGGACGGGGACGGGGACGGGAACGGGGACGGGGACGGACCAGAGTCCATCCCCGTCCTTGAGCCGGCAAGCCCATGAATGGCCAAGGAATGGACTTGGGATGGATCTGGAATAGACTGGAACGGATTGGAGCGGACTGGGACGGACTGGGATGGGTCCGTTCTTGGGACAGGAACGGGTCCGTTCCTGGGGCGGGAATAGACCCGTTCCTAGGGCGGGAACGGACCCATTCCTGGGACGGGAACGGACCCATTCCTGGGACGAGAACAGATCCGTTCTTGGGACGGGAATGGACACTGTCCCCGTTCCTGTTCCTACCCCATTTGGCCAGGCCCACCTCCGCATATGGGCCATCCGGTCCATAACCAAATGTCTATTAACCCAATAGTTATGTCCATTCGTTCGGGGGCTTTGGTTGGCCCGCCACTAGCATCCATGCCACATCAGCATTAATGAATTTTCGTCATTTATGATTAACAAATATTAGCAAATGGGCCCCGTGTACCATGTTAATGAATCTAGGATCCAGATCTAGGTAGCAACGTCTAGTACAAAAGCTGCAATTTCTTCACCAACTTATATCCTTTTTTGCTTTAAAATTTACTAATGCTCTACACTTGTTAGTGGTAAATTTCTAATGAGCCACCATTCAATGGTGTACAATATGATGTATATCAATTATTCGCTATATGCCAGTGCATCACTAATTGAGTGAAGAACCTTATAATTTTTTGCAAATTTGATGGCTGATTTCATCACTTTTGTTTATGGAGTGCTTATTGACAAGGACTATTCATATGGCAAACGTTTTTACTACTTTTTTTCTAAAATTTTGCACAATGTTTTATTCATAAGATTCCTAGATATTGGGCAACATCAATTGTGATCCATAATATGCTTTAGTGGTTAATGCTTATGCATTTTATACATCAAGGCATTCATTTAATTAGATGGTATCACTGATTCTGTACCAAAGCAAAATAGATAATGTAGAGCATTTAGGATAGCACGGAGGCTTTAGATTATGTCCCAGCATTATCAAACATAATCGGTTTTGTAAAGCGGGGGAGTATGCAAGATAGCGTGGAGGCTGGGGTAGGGTAGGGTGGTGCATTGGTGGATGCTATTCACTTGGACATTGTAAACGTCATATAAGCAAAGTATTATATGCAGACCTATGTGGGGGAACGCCTCACCTAGGACCTATTGACAGGCCTAGTGTAGGGGACGCTTTACCTAGGTTTTTCCTTATGATACCCCCAACCTAGGTATACTATATTGTTAGTAGTTAGGGGTGGCCCTGCTTGGAGGCCCGTATGCCTTCGAATTGTTGGCGAGGTGAGTTCAAGATTAAATAAGGTAGGCACCCCTAGCCAACAGTTGATAACACAAAACTCCTCTGATATGTTCTTATATTATTCGCTTAGCTACATAATGACCACCTTTTCATTGGGTTCATCACTTATGCTTGATGACTGGCGATTGTATGCATGTCAAGATGTGATTCGCTGCTTGAGATGACCCCAAAAAACACTGTTGCAGAAAAATATTTTATGAACCATGCAAATTTGCTTTAAAGCTCATTCATGCTAAGATATCCCAGATTAAGACAATGTTACTATTCCTAATGCAGCATTGAGTTGGCAACTTCTCAGCCTAAACATGCTCCTTTGCTTCAAGATTGGGAGTTGGTGACAAAAATGAAAATAGACATGTTTCATAATTTTCTTAAAACCATTTCTTTGATTTAATTCTGGAATAGTTTGACCTAATTTGATTCTTGAAGCAGTTTTTGATCAAACTTATGTTTGTTGGGGAGAATATGGGATTTATAAAAGAAGGTCATGCAGTTCAGAGAGAGATGCCTTGGTCATGGTGTCCTGTCCACCAAGTGCAAAGGTGTCTTGTGGAGAAGCTCTGGATGTGTAGTTGCAGAAACATTACAGCACTGTGACCGCCCTTTACTTCGCTTTTGCTTGCAAGAAATAGCTGTACTTGAATTTTGCAGTGGGGCGGTTTGGAAGTGAACATTTGATCATGATCTGTGTATTCGAAAATTGGGTGTGTTCTCGGTGGATTTGTAGTTTACGGACCAGTTTTCTCTTTCTCGCCTCACCAATTGTTCATGGTACTGGCGGAGGCTCTATGTACTAGTTGCTCACGCACCGTGCTGATTTCTAAGTGAAAAAATGTCTATAACATGTCCCGCACGTTGGCTGGAGTTTAGTGATGCGGTGGTATGTGGCTGAATTGTTGTATAGGCATGTGTGATTGATGACGGTCATTGAGGGTCGAATAGGCGGACGGGTGATTGTGAGATAGGAAAAAATTTGGTCATGGTTGGCACCACCATTGGCGAGGAAAATTCGTGTTCCAGCCTTGAGTCGGGCAAGCAAATATGTAAGCCCGAGTGGTGTGTGGATGTGGACTTGCGTGTGGACATGTGCCAACGCCTTGGAACTAGCAGCCATCGTGAAATCGTGCTTCCCATGTACAATCAATGGGAGCGGTTTGAGTTGCACCAACCACCTTCCCTTCAAGAATATCTAATTGCAATTGCCAGCAATTCAATGTTGTCAAGACCCCTCTGTGAAATGTCATGATATTCCTCCTTCAATTAAGCACCATGCCCAAAGAATCTTTTCCCAAAATACGAAAAGATGGATGTGCAAGGTCGAGTTTCTTATGTGCATGGATAAGCTCCCTGGTCCCCACTCCACGGCTGGTCGTGTGGGTGCAACTTTCGTAGTCAGACATTCTTGTTTACTATCACATAGCATGGAGCAGCACAACATAGTGCGGCACCACTTCACTAATGATCTCTGCTTTGGTCGCCACTGTGATTGGAGCCTTATTTTGGATTGGTATGTAATGCGTTAAATTGGGTGGGCTCAATACGCTTTGCTGGTTGGTGTGATAACGCGGGCATTACTGCCTCAGCGGCTTGATGAGAAACACAAAGGGGATAGGAGAGCGCGGGGCCACACAAGATAGTGCCCCCGCGTTCTTGACGCCAGCCCTAATGTTCAACGTGGGGGAGGGGCTATCCTCCATGATCTATAGTACATCCGGTCACAAAGGCTTCTATATTTTGCAGGCAAGCGCTGGTAGCATATTGGTGGTAGTTGGACTCCAGCTGCCTGCTGTCATCAGCAGTCAAAAGCACCGTCCACCAACAGAAGACATAAACTATGCCATAAAATGCCATCAGCCTACAACTGCTGTCAGAAACTGCAGTATCCCCAGTGATCTCCACCCCTCCCTCGTTCTCTTTTATTTGTTTTCTGCTATTACTTGTTGTGACCCTCACGGGCAACAAGATAGCCTGAGTGGTTGTAACACTAGACAACACACAGGGATAGCAGCCTTGTGCCAACAGCGCCGATGCAATATGGCCAACAATGCCAACTGATATATCCACAAGTGAACACAGCAAGCTAAACTTACATGTACATGTGCCCAATAGAGGCGACAACACAATGGCACCTTTAAACTGCACAGAATCCCTGTATGCCATCAAACTGTGGGTCAAGAGCTATGTTGTCCCATTTTACTGACGGACCAGTTTGGCAAAGTCCACAATGCCGTGTCTGCCATCTCCCCATATCTTGAGCTCATTGCTGCCGCGTACCATGAAGTGGCAGTCATCCACAGAGGCACCCTCCAATTGCCAACAGTTTAGCACATCCGCATCCTTCCTAACACCACCGCTGCTTTTGTGTTAAATACTCTCAGCCCAGCGATTCCAGTCAGCTCATCTCCTTGATGTCCACTCAGTTCAAAAACACAAAAGCATTAGTTCACACAACCCTACAGCCACAATTTTTGGTTAAATAAGGACAAAGATGGCAATGGCAAAACAACCCACTGCATCCATCACTACATGTGTTCCCAATATCGTTCACATCAACTGAAGTAGCCCAAACACTGAAACTCACTCACCCACCCACCCACCCACCCACCGTCAATAGAAAAGCACTGTAAATCTTTGCTACCAAGGCATTTTGCCTCAGTGGGTGGTGCAGCTTGATACCCCAATGCACAGCACAGCCATGCCTTCCAACCAAACACATTGACACATTGATCGAAACAAGTTGGCCCCACAAAATCTCAAGAGCGATCCACTCCAGCACCCTTCGAAAACAATTGCAATGCCTCCCTTAAGCAATCCACATCAGCACTATTAACATGGTCTTGCCAATATGCAGGCATGTAATCCTTCAAGTTTCATCCTCATTCACAACGTCTAACACAGCAGCATCTTTCCCTCCAATTGGTAAGCTTGGCTCATAATCGAATGCTTTCTTGGATGGAGGGTGAAGGAAATCTGCAAACCTTGACACATTGGATGGTACCTGGCCGGGGGCAACGCCCTTAGCCATGAAAGATCCACCGTCTCTCTCTCCACCACGTTGAGAACAATCCAAGCTTGCAGGAAACACATCCTTGAAGGCAGCCGGCATCTGATCAGAGTGAGTCAGCATTGTCCTTGTTGCATTCATGAGGCCACTCATCTGGGCCCTGAGAGGGAACTTTGCACAATGTGTTCCAAAAGGGTTATCCAGCAGAGAGTGCATGTCCAACAGCCCCTGAAACATCACATTTGCCAACATGACAAAGGCATAACACCACGCAGCTGTCCAATAGTTGTCTGATATCTCCAATCTACCCTTTTGCACAACAATCTCCTCATTATCAACGCTTCCTTCGAACTTCTCTGCTGTTGGAAATCCCGCATGCAAAAATATGCCGTACCATGTTGTGCACACAAAGAGATACACGTGGACAACAAGGGACACAAGGTGGACATATGGGTATGGCATTTGCTGCGAAGAAATGGTTGAATAAATCTGCGATGCATTCTCAACAATTATGTTCAGCTTGCCCAGCATCATGCCAAAGATCTGAGGAGATTTGACAAAATTCTCCTGCATGCATCGGTGCAGCAGAGACTGAGTCCAGAAGTACACTTTCTGGAATCTTGGCAGCCCGTTGTTCTCGCTGTCCTTCAAAATGTCCCACTCATCCGCATTCACCAGCCCCTCATGGACAAGATCGAAGAAGTCGATGTTCCTGGCTTTTTTGCTCCACAGCACATCGTCATCGTCTGACATCATCGAGATCAGTTTGGAGCGTTTTGTAACTGAGCGGCCAATCACCTTGATCGCTGTCTTCATCCCATGTGCTGGCTTGAATTGCCTGTCCTCAGCATCAGCGGCAGACACTACAAGAAAATGGCCAAGGTTGAGCAGCCTGGTGAGCTCTGTGCGTGCCCTCACCGTCCTGGGGTCATCCACGCCCTCAGAGTTCAGGTGGGCAGATATGAGCATGCAAAGGTCCAAAGTCGCACCAATTAGCTTGGAGTAAGCAGTCCGTATAGTTGTCCAGCGATTGACAACTAGCGTGACAAAGAGACCCAGAATGAAAGTGATGAGCATCGCCATGTTGAAGATTGCACCAGCGTAGGGTGTTCCAAACATCCTCAAAAATGTAGACAGGTCGCTGACTGGCACCCCCAGGCCTGTTGTGTGCAGGGCCACCATCCACCCCACCAGGGCCAGGCCCTGCAAGTGGAGGTACAGGTCTGACAGCACCATCGCCTTGAAATTGTGCAGGGCCAGAAGGGGGAACCACCCATAGTAGTGCAGGTGTTCGGCTCTGTACTGTGCACACACAAACATACACAATACCGACCCTCAGCTTCCTGGTTCAAAGTTGTCCTCTGCCCCTGGCGGTTGATTATAAGCGTTGTGTTATCGTGGATTCCGCTTTGCCTGCGGCGTCTTCTCGAATTGCATACAAGTGTGTGTGTCTATGGTGCTGCTGCCAAGATCGGCGTCGACGTTTGTCTCACAATACCAGCATCGCATACTCCGCGTCAAAGCATGCGCCAGCCGATTTGTGTATCAAGGAAGGCATCAGCAAAGCCGGCGACAGGTCCAAACCACAAGCTTCCGCTTGGGGCAGTGCTCGTACCTTTATGATGCACGGCGGCTCTTCCTGCCATATTGAGTCCTTTCGTTTGACTACGTTGGACACATTGCGACGATTCCTCAAAACACTCCGCAAATGGCTCCTCTGGACGAAAGTCTCCGTCTTCTGCAGTTCACGCATCTCCACCGCGGGACGCGGGTCAGAAGCACTCGAACTACCACGAGAAGGTGAAGCGTTCGTCTCCGGCTCTCCCTCCCGGGTTCCCATGGTAAGTCATGCGATCATCCAAAATGGGAAAGCCTGCCCAGCAAACAGATGTTGGCGCTCTACAGGGCTCTGCGGAAGAAGAGCATTGGTGGACAGTAGCCACGGTATCCAGGTACCAGTGATCCAGCAAACAAGGCCACGTCCACATCGTTCAAGCGCACCAGCAACAATGTCGGCGTGCCAGCGACCGCCCAAGGACCTTGCGTTAAGGGTCACCGTTGACAAAGCCCGAGATCTGAGAATATCCGTGCACAAGAGCAAGCTGCCAACCCAATTGGCAAGCCTTGCTGGAGGTGGGGCAGGCCGCCAGCTAGAAGGCAAGGCCTTGCTTGCCAACTCCCCCGAACCACCAGGGCTGCAACAACGACATTTGCCGTCTAACACGTTGGGCAACTGTGGGGAGTGGGGCTGTACGTATGATAGGGGAGCCAGTTAAGGGGAATTGGCTGTAGCGAATGAACGGGGACGGCTTTGGGATTGGTTCATAGTTGGGGATGGCGGCAAGAATAGGAGAGGAGGTGTGGGAGTGAGGGAGAGTGGGAGTGGGTAGTGTACGCGGGTAGCTGCTGGGCTAGTTGGCAACGGATCATAGTTAGTCTGGGCGGCAGGAATAGAAACTTGGCATGAGAAAGGGACACCAACCCGGCCAGCTCGTGAAAGTGGCCAGAGTGAGGATTCTGGATACACCAACTCTTGAACCGTCACATCATCAAGCTATAAATAACACTCACTCCATCTGTAAGAACGCGTTCGGTTCGTGTGCGACAGAGTTGTCCTTCCTCGCATTACCAGTTGTGAATGCCTCCCGTACCCCTTGGGTCGCCGTAGCCCAAAAGCTCATTGCGCACTTGAGCCGCCCAAAGGCCGACAATTTTTGGTTCCATTGCCGGGACAGGCGCGGAAGCGGAGTGAGAACACACGGCGCGCAGAGGAGCGCCGAAGGAGGGCGGCATGAAGATCCGTCCCCACCCGTTTTCTGGGGAGGCGGGTGGTGAAGATGCAGAGGGGTGGTTGCTTTATTTTGAGGGAGTATGCATCGCGTCTGCTATCTTTGAGGATGCGCAGCGGATCGCGTTACTCACCGTTTGTGTGGAAGGAGAGGCTGCGCAGTGGGCACGCTCATTGGGTCGATGAATGCAAGACGGAGAGTGGGGTAGGAAGAGGTGAAGGAGAAATTCATCGAACGGTTTACGGAGGACGATCTGGAGGAGTGCATCAACGCTTCGTTGAAGAGTCTTAGGCAAGGTGGGCAGGAAACGGTCAAGGAATACCTTAGCCGTTTTTGCGAGTTGGTGTCCCGTTCGGATGAAGCGACTGAAGATGCTTGGTACAGGGCATGGGTTGGGGTTCTGTGCGCCGACCTGCGCAAGGCCGTATGGTTCGTTGGGTATAGGGGCTTGGAGGATGCAGCGCGAACGGCAATGCGCAAGGAAAATGCCACCCGCGATATAGGTGTGCTAAACACCATGCACAAAAAGTGCAGTACTGGAGATGTGAGGGAGGATCTCTTGCAAGCAATTGGGGATTGGGCACTGCAAGCGTGTGCGACCAAGCGGGGCACCGACCGGCAAGGCTCGGGGGGCCGATTGGCGGGTAGCGCGAATGCCGACAAGCAGGTCAGAGAAGTGCATCCGGCGGGGGGTCGCGGGATGGCATGATACGGTTGCTTTTGTAGATGAATTACATGTATTTGATTACCCTAAATGGGTCTGAGTTGGGTAAACTAGCCTTGTGGTGGTTACAAAGGACATGGGACAATGAATAGAACAATTAAAGACAATCTTGTATAATATACAAATGTAGTAACCGCCCGGGGATTCCGACTCCCTGTTTCATCCGACCGTGCGCCCGAGGGAGCTTCCAAGCTCCTGCATCATTGGTTTTGGAGCGCGGAGCGTTCGAGCAGCGAGAACGCACTAGAGGTGGCCACCCGGATCCGTTAATAGCGGACAGAGGTTAATTTCCGTTAATTTTCCGTTAATTAACGGAAAATAACGAAAAAAGACAAAAATTAACTAAAAATTAGCGGATTTTTGGATTTTTTGGGGATTTTTGGGTTTTAGTCATACTTATAGTTTATGGAATTCGCTATTAGAGAGTATGTTTGTATTTTATTTTAACCTATGCATACTAGATTTTCAACTAGTTGCAGTTGTTGTGATTTTTTGGGTTTTTTTTCGATTTTTTTGGATTTTTTTCGTTTTTTCTGAATTTTTCTCCCTTTTTTTTAACGAAATTTAACGGACAGCTGATAAAAATTAACGAACCGGATTTAACGGACCGGATGGCACCCTTGAATGGCCACCTCTAGAACGCACCGGCCGACGGCCGGTATGGCGAGTGGGGATTCTCGCCCGGAGTCTGGGAATCTGGGGGACGAATCGGCCGGGCAATTGGTGCCCTATCGAGGCGGGCCGACCCCCATGGAGCTGAATGGAAACGGTGGAGGAGTGACGGCTTTGCAGCATGGCGAGGAAGACGATCGGCCGGAGCAGCTATTGCTGCGCCAAGTGGGGGCTGTGGCCGCGGCTGCTGCGAGGAGAGCGACCCTTTTTGCGGTCGCAGAATGGAGCAATTCGGCCGGGCAGCAGTAGAATGCCGCCCTCCGCGGCATGGGGGAGTCGCTCGGGCAGCAGCTCGAGCAAGCGGCGAATCAATCAGCGGCGCAGCAGCTGCAGCAAGGCCGCGAGCTGCGCGCCTTGCAGGAAGGTGTGCATGGCAGAATGGCCGCGCAAGAAGGGGCCCTTTCGGTGATCGGCGCCGGGCTAGAAGGTGTGAGGCAAAGAGCTGAAATGCAAGCGAGTGAGCTTGGCAGAATGGAGACCGCCGTGCAAGGAGAGTTGCGCAAGGCTCAAGACTGGATCGGCGAAAAATTGGACCTTTTCAGGTGGTGAAGGCAATTTCCCCAGTTGCATACACTCTCCAGCTACCATCCAACTGGCGCATTCATCCGACCTTCCACGTCGAGAAGCTGAAGAAGTATGAGCGCAGTGAGACGTTTCAGCACACTGTCAGTTCGCCTCCGGAGTCACTAGAGGTAGAGGGCGAGCAAGAGTTTGAGGTCGAGGCGATCATCAGACATCGTGGCAGCGCTTTCAAAAGACAGTTGTCGGCGCGGTCCCCCCTTGGCCGCGTCCAGGTACCCTGGCCCGCGCTCTAGGGCCTCTCCAGTGGAAGCGTGGTCGTCCTCGGCCGGACGGCATGTCCCGGGCTCTCTCTGGCCCGTGGGTGACGGCCGCTCTGTGCGGTCCCGTTCGAGGCACACGGTTGCTGCGCTCGAGGAGGCAGGGAGGCAACGTGTTCCAGAACGATCGAACTACAATCGGCGCCGCCACCTGGCGCTCTTACATGTGGCGGCCAAAATAATGAAAGTCATCATTTTCATTAAGCATGTCCATTTTGGCCGAACCCGTTTTCCGGCTAAAGGCCTCGCTACGCTTCGCTCCGCATACGGCCTCCACGACTTTGGCGACGGGCCGAGCTCCGCTCGGCAGAACAAGAAACCAACGGTTAAGCTTCGTGTGTCGCCGCTTAAGTTACGGTTCAGGGCGTTCGCTTAACGCCCTTTCGCTACCCTTTTCCCTTCTTCCCCCCCCTTTATTTATTTCCCTTAGGTTGTACACGCATCATACCTCGGCCTATTTGTATAACCCATAAGTAGCTATATCCCCCCCCCGTCTTATCATTGGTGCTTATGTTAATGTTGCTCCCTATCTCGTTACCGTCACGGTCGCCCTCCCCCCCCCCTTGTGATGTTACCCCCTCCTCCCTTGAAGCAAGACGTCCAACCTTTTTTTAAATGGGGGCGCTTTCCAGTCCAACTTTTGTCACCTCACTCCCCTAACACCGGAACTACACTAGGGGCTGACCCGGGCCCACCGGCGACAGCCACCTAGCCTCCAAACACTCACCCGGGGATGGGCCGCCGACCCGCCGTCCCTGGCCCGTCGGCCCGTCGGCGCGGACGCGGCCCCCGCCCCCGGGGAGGGGACACCCTCCCACACGCTCCCAACTACAACAGTCACAACCTCCCTCCCTCACACGCTCGCTCCCCCCAAGCGCTACTCCTCTCGTTACCGCCGTACTCGCTTCGTGCGTGGGGTTGGCGCGGGGGCAGTTGCACGTTTGCGTGTCCGTATTGTTGCATCTGGTACACCACGTTTTTTTTTTGCGCTGTTTACGTACGGCCACCCCTTTGCTGCGCGCCCGTGCTGCTCTCAACCGCTGCTTACCGCCTCCGCTCACCCTGCCACCCTCCCCCCCGCCGGCGTCGCCCTCCCCCGCCGCTGGGCGCGGGTGATCGCAGCCGGCCCCCTTGCTCCGGGTAGGTGCTGGCGATCTGCCCCCTCCGCGCGCGCCTGCCTCGCCTCCCGCCAGGCATTTACTGGCATCCTCATTCTCCTGCACAGGGCCTTCCTCTTCGCCTGGCTGCGGGCTCCGCCCCGCTGCCCACCGTGCCGCATAGCTTGCGGCGGCGGCCATCCCGAGCTGGCTTCTTCTGCCGGGCTTCCTCCCGCGATCTGCGCATGGGTGCGAGGCAGCAGCCATTCCAGGTAACCAGGGGGCTGTCGCCTCCTTCGGCGCCAGGTTGGTAGCCCCGCCGTCGAAGTCAAGCCCTCCTGCCGTGTTGCCTGCTCCTTCTCGTGCCTCAGTGCCCTGTTCTCTGCTCTCTCCTGCTCCCCACGGATTGGATCTCTCTGCATTCTGTGTGCGCCGGCCTTGCTCTGGTGTTGGGCGCACTCGCAGTCCTTCGCTTCCTCCGCGATAGCATTGGTCCCTGAGTGCCTTTCGGCCGGCCCGCGGTGCACATTCGGCATCCTGCAGCCCACCTACCTACTCGGCTGGACGGGGGTGCCCCCAATTCCACCGCCTCCTTGTTCCTGGTCTCCGCCATTACAGTCTTGCACAGACCCTTAGCTTCGCGTCCAGCGCCAGCGTCCTGTAGACATCCACCGCTCCGCTTCTCCATTGCCCCTGCGCCATCAGCCACACCAGGGGGA